CTTTAAAAACATTACAACTCTCACTGATCCCAAACTTTTGAACGGCAGTGTATATTAAAAATGATCCTTGCTCTTCCAAGCGTTAGAATGGGAGTAGATGGGTGTTTTTGTTCAACAGTCCAAAAGAAGTCAAATAAAGCGCATGCATCCATAATGAAACATACCTCACACGCAGTGTTGGGTGTAATGCATTACAAAGTAATTAATTACTGTAATTTAATTACATTTCTCTTGAAAAAGTAAAGTAAGGGATTACTCTTAATTTTTCTGTAATTTAATTACTGTTACTTCTGATGTAATTGTATTAAATACTGCATAGACTATAGAATAATTCTATTTAAAACAATAGTGGATTTAACATCTAATATTAAAATGTGTGTTTAATGTAACCTTCTCCCTTTAAACACTTTGGACAGTTCAAGAATAATTTATGCAATTTTGTATTATGTATTTAAAAGAATTAAAAGAGCAGTTGCATGTTGTTCAACAAGTTAAGTTAAACAATACAAGAATAGACATGAAAACATTTGTAATTCTTTCAAATACAAAATTGCTTAAATTAAGAAACTAATAAGTAATGCAATACTTTTAAGAGAGAGTAATTAGTACGGTAATCTAATCACACTGTTGAAGGTGTAATTAGTAACTAGTGTGTAATTAGGTTTTTTTTTGTAAGAAAATTCCACGTACAACAGTTAGCAGAAGTGGGAGAAAAGTGTTTATAACATTTTAAATAGGAATATTTTTCTCACAAAAACACATGAATTCGCTACAGGAGGCACATTTTATGATGGATGCATGCACTTTATTTGACTTCTTTTGGACTGTTGAACAAAAACACCCATGTACTCCCATTCTAACGCTTGGAGCCAGGATAATTTTTAATATAACTCCGATTGGATTCGTCTGAAAGAAGAAAGTCACATACACCTAGGATGCCTCGAGGGTGAGTAAAACATGGGCTAATTATCATTTTCTGTTGTTTCTTACGGTGGCCGAGAGAGCTCAACGCACTGCAAATAAAAATAAGAAAACATCAATTAAAAAACACGCGCACTGCAAATACTCGCAACACAAACAAATAAAGAAGTGCGCTGCAAATATGCACAGATCACATCGGAAATGTTTAAGGGATCCGCAAAGTGACGAACATGGCTGGGACATATTTATGAGCGTTTGCTCTGAAAGGTGAGATTTTTGTTTATTTTAACATCCTGCTCATACGATTCCTTATAGCTTTTTTTTGTTTCGTTTTTGGATATTAGCCTAAATAAGCTGACGAAGTGCACAATTACTGTAAGTGTGAAAGGTTATGTAAACTGGATAACTTACTTTTACAACTTCCTCTACAAAAATAGCCTATGGTATTAAAATTGATTTTATTAATAAATAAATGTATTATGTAAAAAATAAATAAAAACAAAAAATGGTTGCTATAGCCATGCACAAATTAACCATGGATTTACTACACTAACCATAGTTTAACCATGGTATTTATGCAACTGTGGTTATACAAAAGGTAATCAATATTCCCCAAAAAATTGTGATTTTGTGGTTTGTGCGACTTGTGCGTTTCTGTATTTGTTTGTGTTGTGAGTATTTGCAGCGCATGTGCTGTCAAACTGATGAAGATGTTTTCATAATTTGCTGGTGCTTTTTCTACTTGCACGTGTTTTCTGAAGTTGCAGCGCTTGAGCTCTCTGAGCCACCGTAGTTTCTGTCTCCCGGGCCGCAGCTGTTGCACGTGAATTATGTTTTCTCTGTCTCTCATCAGGACGACAGTCTGCAGATCTCCGTTCCCGCTCCGCAGCACCTGTCTGTTCCTCTTTTCCTGGCGTGGACCGCCAGCTCCAAAACAGTGGTGGCCAATCCCATAGTGCACCTGACCAACCTCACGCATGACATACTGCACACCATCAATGCTCTGGACGCGCCTCCGCACCCGGATATCGTCAACAACGAGGTGAAGCGTGGCTCATCAGAACGAGGTAGGGGTGGAACGGTTCTTGGTAAAAACACACACGGTTCGGCACGCGCTAGGACCGCGGTTCAACTTAAATCTGACAACGCATCTGTTATATGTAACAAACAGGGTTCGGCTAATATATGTTTCTGTTGATGGATGCGCATTCTGGCTTCCCAATACATTACAACAGCAGCGATGGAAAAAAAACATGGACAAACCATTCACTCTTGTTCAATGCGACTGCCGTATGCTGGAATATGAGCATTTAGTCCGTCATCACCCGGCTGCTGATAGCGCGCGCGCACAGGTGAGACCTGAACAGCACACGCTGATATCTGTGTTTAAGCTAAACTCATGTAAGCTTTGCCAGTTTAAACATTTAAGAGCCAGAGGACGTGAAGATTTGTGCGTGCGCTCATCCGAAGCGCCTCAGAACGCGCGCAAATATTAAGCTCTCTCTGAAGTATTGTTTAAATGGACAAATTCACATATAAATTGTCAAAAAGCCCGTCTTGGTAAGTATCCTATAGCAGACACAGACATCTGTATCAGTGCGTTCTCTTAAAGTGACAGCACTTTCTTAATATTAATCAAACAGCAACAACAAAGAAATCACTCACTGCTCTTGATTGAATAGCTTTTGTAACTTTAATAAAGATTCATCTTTCATTTATACAGTCAAATATGCAAAGCTGTTTTACATTTCATTACTTTATTAAATTTCTGTACCTGAAAACGAATGTTAGACCTACCTAAAAAAAACTGAAATCACTGTTTATTTTATTTGTATCTTTACTCTATTGTATTTGTTTGTGCTGTTGCTGGTAGTTAGATAGATTATTCTTATTTTCTTTATTTTTATTTGACAGTATAGTTTTTGCCTAAACATAGCACGTACCGAAACCGTGACTCTAAAACCGTGATACGAACCGTGAGTAAGTTGAACCGTTGCACCCCTAGAACGAGGTGTCGTTACTGTCGTGATTGGTCCTCTAACACGTCTTCCTTCTGTCTCAGATCTACGTGATGCACACGCTGGCTGCTTCCCTCTCCGCCTGCATCTATCAGTGTCTCTGTGACGGACACAGCTACAGGTGGGTGTGTCTGTCGGCCTCACGATGACCCCGTGACCTCTGCCCTCATCACTGATTTGATTCTTTGTTATGGAACGCTTCTCTTCATTTGCAAGTTTTTGTGACAAGTGCTGGCAAAATGAGTCGCGGTGAGCAAATGTACAAAAATTTGTTGTTTTTATTTTAAGACCTTCTAAAATGATGCATGGTTTGTTGCAACGGACGAAAAATGACTGCGCTGCACCTGTTTGAAGTTGATAGAGTCAGCAAAGTCAAATTTGAGAAAAATCGAGTCAAAGTTTTCTGAAGGTTCCAAAGCAAAGTCACAGAGCAACATTGCATCTTTTCCTCCAATTCTTTTCTTAATAATATATCACCCTGCAGCACAGAAGCAGTGTTAAGTCGCTGGGGGATATTTGTAGCAATAGCCAACAATACATTGTATGGGTCACAATTATACATTTCTCTTTTATGCCAAAAATCATTAGGATATTAAGTAAAGATCATGTTCCATGAAGATATTTAGTACATTTCCTACTGTAAATATATCAAAACTTAATGTTTGATTAGTAATATGCATTGCTAAGAACTTCATTTGAACAACTTTAAAGATGATTTTCTCAATATTTAGATTTTTTTGCACCCTCAGATTCCAGATTTCCAAATATTGTCCGATCCTAACAAACCATACATCAATGGAAAGATTATTTATTCAGATGTTTATTATGATGTATAAATCTCAATTTCAAAAAATGGACCCTTATGACTGGTTTTGTGCTCCAGGGTCACAATTACTATATTAATAATCAAAATATAGCTTTTTTATTTTATCTTTGTTATTATAGACAAGAACAGATAGAACAAAAAAAAACAGTAGAACAAAAAATAATGCATTACCTTTTTCATTTCACTTCTAAACAAAAGCATTCAAGTCAGAAAAACATATAATTACATGTAAAAATCCCTTTATTATTGATTATTAAAACTACAAAAGCAGTTCAATCAAGAGTAGTGAGTGATTCCCTCTTTTCTTTTATTGTTTGATTAATATTAATGTGACAGACGGCTTACACAGTATATTAAGACCTACTGTAATGCACGGATCTAATGTTACACATCAGATGTTTTTCCCCAAACGTTCACTTAAGACAGAACAGAAAATCAAAATATAGCTTTTTTATTTTATCTTTGTTATTATAGACAAGAACAGATAGAACAAAAAACAAACAGTAGAACAAAAAATAATGCATTACCTTTTTCATTTCACTTCTAAACAAAAGCATTCAAGTCAGAAAAACATATAATTACATGTAAAAATCCCTTTATTATTGATTATTAAAACTACAAAAGCAGTTCAATCAAGAGTAGTGAGTGATTCCCTCTTTTCTTTTATTGTTTGATTAATATTAATGTGACAGACGGCTTACACAGTATATTAAGACCTACTGTAATGCACGGATCTAATGTTACACATCAGATGTTTTTCCCCAAACGTTCACTTAAGACAGAACAGATTATGGTTGCATGAATACTTCAATACTGTGTTTCAGTGTATATGTGTATATTTATCGGGATCGCACAGATCGGTACTCCTCTCAGAAAACGTACAAATAAAGATGATTTTAGATGTTTAATTACTATCTGGAGCATTGGGATCGCTAGAAGAGGGCTTAATGAACTCATTTTTGTGAAAACCTCAAATTCGACTAAAATGGACATTTTTCACTTTTTTTGCATGCAGCTCAGAATTACACCGAGTGCATTCACACTCATTCTGCCAGCACGGCTCACATTTGTGTGTCTTGTAATCGAGCGAATGACCCATGAATGTGATGCTCATGTGGCATTTACAGATGAAAGTGGCCTTTGGCTTTCTTTATGAATGCTCTTCTTTGATTGAGATTGAAGAGATGCGGGTTTGTGATGGATGAACTAAGCCTTTTAAAGTCATCATGAAATGAAAATCCATTTTCTAAATGCATGATATAGATCTTACTATGAGCAATGTGTGCACGTTTCATTTTTACAAATGTTCAGAGCTCGTAATGTATAATTTAGATATCATAACTGGATCTTCTCTCTGGTGATGCAGGATTTCTTCAATCATTCAGTCTGCTTAAACCCCACCCCTCCATTCTAACGCTCAGCTCCGCCTCCACCATTGAGCACCACGCCCACTTCTTAACATCCAATCAACAACTAATGTATAGAACCAAGTCCCGCCCCACATTTATGCTTTTTCGATGATCCACTTCACTCGGATGTCAATACAGAAAAAAGAGCTGTTGAAGCTTGTTTCATCATGACTTTAAAAAGCATTGTTAATTTTTTTCAATTTTTTTAAATGTAACAATTATTAAAAAATGTAATCTAATTACACGATGTGTCCAATAATCTGTTTAATTATTTATTTTATTTAGTCATTTATTAGACGCTTTTATAAATAAATAAATAATGATAAACCGGTCTAAATAAGGTATTTAAATTAAAATGAATATTGATATGAAATTGTTTTTAAAATTATTTAATGATACACTAAATATGAAACAAACAAAAAAACGGCAGTAGGTGGCGGCGAGTCACTGTCTTAATGAGTGAGTCACTGAATCATTGAGTCACTCGATTTGTTCAAAACCGTTGATTCATTCAGAAACGAAGCAGGTGACAGTCTTTATGAGTGAGTCACTGAATCACTAGTTGTTTCCATCCACCTATTTTTATGTGCATTTTGGAATATCGCATAAAAACCGCTGGATGGAAACGCCAAGATGCACATCAATTCTAAAAATTGCACATTTGAGTAGGATAGACGTTTTATGCGATAAGAAAAATTGGAATATCGCATAAAAAACCGCTGGATGGAAACGCCAAGATGCACATCAATTCTAAAAATTTCACATTTGAGTAGGATAAACGTTTTATGCGATAAGAAAAATGTGCATAAACTATGATGGAAACACATTTACATTTTGATGGAATAACTTGACTAACCAGCGGACCGATCTCGCTGCACAGCATCTGAAATGTTGTTCTGGTCGTTCTGAAATGCATGAGCAAAATCTGTCATCAAAGTATTTCTGTATAATTGTCTTACACGACTGCGTTCCCAAACAGCAATAATCCACCTCCGAAAGCGATGACCGCATTTATTGTGTTTCGTCTGCTCGCTCTTGAGCCGCAACTCATTTATTATATATGAAAATTATTATATTCAGTGGCTTCTTCTAGTTTTCTTAGTTCGCAAATGCGATATTCTAGTTTTGAGCATAAGTTAAATTCAAATCTTTGGATGGAAACATAGCTACTCGATTTTAAACGTAGCTATTTGATTTGTTCAAAACCATGGATTCAAATCCAAAATCCAATCCAAATGAACGCCCTAATTCTAATATGTATGTTTTTCCTCAGCCACGTGAATCCGTTCACGGGCATCACCTACCAGAGCGTCCTGCTTACCCATCAGCCCCCGGTGAGGAGCGTCAGCATCGAGGAGGCCATCCTGCCCAACACCTCTCCTGCGCAGTGGCCTGGTAAAGCACCGTGACCTCTGACCTCTGACCCCTGAGCTCAGACTCCAGACTCACCTGTGTGTCTGTGCAGGTGTGAGCGTCCTGATGCGGCTGCTGAGCGCGTCTGGAGACGAGAGCCAGCCCGGTCTGCCTGTGCTCCTGTGTGAGATCCTGACCGCCGTCATCCTCAGCCTCTTCGTCCACGGTCTGGCCACTCACTCCAGCCACGAGCTCTTCCGCATCGTCGCTCACCCGCTCAACAGCAGGCTGTGGGTGTCTGTGTTCGGCGGCGGCGCTCGTGCTCCTGTGCCGGAGAAGCCCAGCTCACCCACAGGTTCTGTTCTCCTCAGGGTGCTGGTTGTCTGCTAGTTTAACCAGCACTGTAAAAATAAATAGTTGAGAAAACGTAAAAAAATAAGGCAACTTGATGCAGTAAGACTTTTGTGTTCTCTCAACAATAAGAACAACATCCTTAGAAACCACACTGAGTTCCCTAGCAACCACATAGCAACACCCTAGCAAACATCCCGGGTAGCCTAGCAACCACATAGCAACACCTTAGCAACCACCCCAGGTAGCCTAGCAACACCTTAGCAACCACCCCAAGTACCCTAGAAACCTGTGAGTTCTGTTCTCCTCATGCTGCTGGTTGTCTGCTAGTTTAACCAGCACTGTAAAAAATAAATAGTTGAGAAAACTTAAAAAAATAAGGCAACTTGATGCAGTAAGACTTTTGTGTTCTCTCAATAAGAACAACATCCTTAGCAACCACACTGTGTACCCTAGCAACCGCATATCAACACCCTAGCAAACACCCCGGGTACCCTAGCAACCGCATAGCAACGCCCCAGCAAACACCCCGAGTAGCCTAGCAACCCCATAGCAACACTTTAGCAACCACCCCAGGTAGCCTAGCAACCGCAAATAAATGTAATTTATTTTTAATAATTGTTTTATTTAGATTTTTATTTTAAAATTATGTATTTCAACTTGACATTTTTATTCTTAATTTTAAGTTTTAATTTTAATAAGTGTTTTATTTTGAATTAAAAAAATATCTCAATTTTATATTATTATTATGATTTAATTTCCTTTTAATAAGTGTTTTATTTAGACGTTTTTTTATTTTAAAATAATTGATTTCAATTTCACACTTTTATGTAGGTCTGTGCAATTAATCGAAAAAACTCCAGCGATTATGAAAATACAGTAATCGAGATAATACGATTAGCCTAATATTCCTGCTGCCGACTGTGTGCTTAATATTAATAAAGCAACAAAAGACAAATTCTAAATCACTCGCTGCTCTTGACTGAAGGACTTCTGTAGCTTTAATAAGAAACAAAGAAAGTTTAATTCTTACTCAGACTATGCTGTTTTTTATTTTACATTTGATTATTCATTTCTGTCAACCGAATACTTGAGACTTGCATAAAAAGCTTAAAGCACAGTTTGTTTCATTTGTATCTTTTTATTCTATTGCATATGTCCTTTGCTTTTATTACTGACAGTTTAATTATATTCAATCATTTTGAGGACTTGTTAACCCTAATACTCTGCTGTGGTATTGAGAATTGTGAAATTCCTCTGGTCTCTAAAATTTAGATGTCATAGCAACCTTATTTACAGAAAATATGTATTTAATATACATCACGTGTCATAATCGTGTTAAATAAGCGGGATTACAATATTGACCAAAATAATCGTGATTATGATTTTTGCCGTAATCGAGCAGCCCTACTTTTATGATTTCATTAATTTTTGGTAAATATTTTAATTTGACATTTTTATAAATTATTAGCTTTTTATTAGTATAAAACCCTGTTTGGTAAACCCTTGATTATTGCGTTACGATTATGCAGCGTTAAGCTCCAGTGATATTAAAGCTTTCTGTTGTGTTTGAGTGATTTTATGACATCTTGCTCGCTATTTGCTCCTCGTTAGTGGAAGATGTGGAGCGGAGGCAGCGGCGTTCCCGGCTGAGCTCATCACGCAGTAACTCCAGAGAGGTTCCCGACAGTCCGGTCAGTCCCAGACCCGTGGTGATGGAGCCGGACACATCCGTCTGTAAAGAGCGCTTTGTGCCGCCTGAGCTCAGCATCTGGGATTATTTCATCGCAAAGGTTTTCTTTTATTCTTCAGCTTGCAGTAATTTGGCACTGTTGTGTTTGTGAACTCATTCGTTTGTCCTTGCGTGAAGCCGTACCTGCCTCCGTCTGCCAGCCGAGTGGAGTATGACTCTGAGGAGAGCCAAGGCAGTGAGGAAGAGGAGGATGAGGAAGAGGAAGATGAGGATGAGGATGAAGGAGATCCATTTGATTCCGACTCTCCACTGGCAGAGCATTCCAACAATAACTCGTACAGGTGAGCCGCGAGTAGAGCTCCATGATTAATCATTAAAAGATCACGATCTCGATTCAAACACACAAGTGAAGTATTTATGAGTGAGTCATTGAATCATTCATTCAAACCACTTTTTCATAATTGTAATATTAAAATTGGTGTATTAAATATATTTAAAATGCATATATATTAAAATGTTTAATAATTCATTCAAATAAGTTAAACACTTAAATAGACTGGCACAAATTGTTTTGGTTAGTTCAGAATCTTGGGATAATAGTGAGCTCTATTTGAGAAAAAAAAGAATCGTGATTCTCAATTTATCCAGAATCGTGCAGCTCTAACCGTGAGTCATGTGATGATGATGATGATGATGATGATGTTTCTGTGCAGCTGGTGTCTGATGCGCTTGGCCATGGTGCAGACCGTCCTGGTCAACCTCAAGACCTTCTACCCAATGGCAGGTCACGACCTCTTAGGTAACGAGATATTATATGTGTGTGTGTAGAGTGTAGAGCTCATCCAGAACGCTGCTGCCAGGATTCTGACTAGAACCAGATATTCTGAGCATATCACACCAGTCCTCAGGTCCTTACACTGGTTTCCAGTTACATTTAGGATTGATTTTAAAGTACTTTTACTCGTTTATAAATCACTCGATGGCCTAGGACCTAAATACACTGCAGATATGCTCACTGAATATAAACCTAACAGAGCACTCAGATCATTAGGATCGAGTCAGTTAGAAACTCCAAGGGTTACACAAAACAAGGGGAATGTGCTTTTAGTTATTATGCCACCCGCAGTTGGAACCAGCTTCCAGAAGAGATCAGATGTGCTAAAACATTAGTCACATTTAAATGCAGACTCAAAACTCATCCGGTTAGCTGCACATTTATTGAATGAGCACTGTGCGATGTCCGAACTGATTGCACTGTATTTTATTCATGTATAATAATTTTCTATTCTTAACGGTTTTAATCCATTTTAAATCCATTTTTAAATCATTTGAAAAGTTTTAAAATTCCTTGTTTTTATTGTTGTGAATGTGATTAGTTTTCATGATTACTTTAATTCCTTTTATATGCACTTTGAATTACCATTGTGTATGAAATGTAATAACGTGTGTGTGTGTGTGTGTGTGTGTGTGTGTGTCAGATCTGCCCGTGTGCTCGCCGCTCTGTCACGCCGCTCTCAAGACACTCCAGCGCTGGGAGCAGTTGCTGCTCAAGAGGTTGGAGATTTTTGGAGGTCCTCCGTCGAAGTTCATCTGCACTCAGCTTTTGGAGGACAGCGTGTCGTCGGGTCCGGCGCTGCTGCGGCACAAAGCCCTGTTTGAGCCCTCCAACACGCCCTTTAGGTACAGCATACATGACACAATGCAGCCGAAAATACTCGGCTGAAACCGCAATAGCTACGTTTACATGGACACTTTTTGCTTCCATTGGAATTAATTCATTCTGATCGACGAATCCGAGCGTAGTGTTTACATGAACTCTAAATAAAGTGATATTGCGCATTTGTATGTCACAAGCTTCTGATCGGATTTAATCTTTTGACATGCGCACACTGCGTGAATATACAGAGTTTCCCACTTTTGTCAGATAATGTTTCAAAAAGCACACTTGATATTTATCTACTTCAGGTGCTAATTAGGTGACGACCAGCACATGAACTGTTGTGCAGTGCTGCTTACTTTAGAAAGCAGTAAAAGTGCCCCTTCTCGCACCCAAAACCAGTCGTCTGTGGATGAGAGTCTTAAACAAGGACTGATGGGATATCGTGTTGCTCCACTTCACAGATGCTGAGTGAAAGCAGAATTTTAGAATGACTGCACACTCATTTATGACACTTTATTCACCAGGAAGAACAGCTCGTTCTGTGTGTCATACATCATTATGCTACTTTTAAGTGGACATTCGACAGAGACTGCCGTGCTCTCTGTTGTTGAAGCCCTGAGACTAGCAAGAGTGGATTCCAAATATTCAATACTTATCTTGCTGGATCTGTCCACTGATTTTGACACGGTGAACCACCAGATCCTCCTGTCAACCCTATTGGCAAATGGCATCTCAGGAACCGCACGCCAGTGGTTTGAGTCTTATCTCTCAGATAGGTCCTTCAAGGTATCTTGGAGAGGTGAGGTGTCCAAGTCACAACATCTAGCTACTGGGGTGCCTCAGGGCTCAGTACTTGGACCACTTCTCTTCTCTGTCTACATGGCATCGCTAGGTTCTGTCATTCAGAAACATGGCGCTTCATATCACTGCTATGCTGATGACACTCAACTCTACCTCTCATTCCATCCTGATGATCCGACGATAGCTGCTCGCATCTCAGCATGTCTAACAGACATTTCTTGCTGGAGAAATAACCATCACCCTCAACTCAACCTGGCTAAGACAGAACTGCTTGTGGTTTCAACAAACCCATCGTTTCATCACAATTTCACCATCCAGTTAGGCACATCAACCATAACTCCTTCAAAAACAGCTAGAAACCTTGGAGTTGTGATTTGAAGATCAGCTGAATTTCTCAGACCGCATTGCTAAAACTGCCCGGTCCTGCAGATTTGCTTTATTCAACATCAAGAAGATCAGGCCATTTCTTTCAGAACATGCTTCACAACTCCTTGTTCAAGCTCTTGTTCTGTCCAGGCTGGTCTATTGCAATGCTCTCTTGTCAGGTCTTCCAGCCACTTCTATCAAACCTTTACAATTAATCCAGAATGCGGCAGCAAGACTAATTTTTAATGAGCCGAAAAGAACACACGTCACACCTGTTCATCAATCTGCACTGGCTACCAGTAGCTGCTCGCATTAAATTCAAGGCATTGATGTTTGCCTACAAAACCAGCACTGGCTCTGCACCCCTTTACCTAAATTCATTACTTCAGACTCTAGAAGCTTGCGTTCTTTAAGTGAACGGCGCTTTATTGTTCATCCCAAAGAGACACAATCACTTTCACAGACTTTTACATTAACTGTTCCCTCCTGGTGGATGATTGCTTCTGTTGTCCTCATTTGTTAGTCGCTTTGGATAAAAGCGTTTGCTAAATTACTAAATTGAAATATAATGTAAATAACAAAACTAAATTGAAATTTTAAAACAAAAATCAAATACATAAGTAACACAAATAAATCTCTTCATATAAACAAATTAAGGCTTTGTCTGTGCTCTTAACATTTAAAACTAGAGGCAACCGCTGCATTTTAATCACAATCCAAACAAAGATGCTACATACATGCAACACCAGCAGTTTTTAATCTAAATTAGATTGTATAATTTTGAAATTTGAAGCAAAAACAGAATGGTTTGACTTC